TTGTACCTGATCTGGTTGATCGGATTGCCTAACCCACCTTGGTCACTTTGAAGAATTTGGGTTTAAAATAATAAAAGCCAGCACATTTTTTTTTCTTTTCTTATACAAAAGAGAAGCCTATTTTAATTGGGCTTTGCTTCCAAGGGCTCCCCTCACTGGTGAATACTCCTTTGGTACCAGACTTTTCACTGAGGTGCTTTTTGATACCGAACTTCCTAAGAGTACAGTGCCTTCTTGGATAGTAATTCTGTGATGGAGAGAGCAAAGCTGACACAGTGCAGTTTACACCAACCTTTAAGCATTTAGAAAGATAAGTAAGACCCTGCCACATTTCTCTGTCTTGAAACTCAGAGCACAAGGTATGTGCCACTTGTAACTTTGCAGGTAAATTTTGTTTCCACTGACTAGACAGAGAAGCTGCTGTTACACTGGCTTTCACCTGATGCAGGTAAAACTGAAGTATTTCTACAGCCTTTATTAAAACTTCCGAAATCCCAAGCAGATGACAGCTCCCCACAGCACAGCTGGGCATTAACTTGTGGGTGCCAGCAGCCTGACCTGGGCTGCAGCCTCTCCTAAGGCTGTAGGTCTCATGTTGTACTTCAACAGTACTACTTTGTCTCTTGTCAGTGAAACCTCATTCCTAGCCTACAGATCAGACTGTCTCATGACCCAGAGGCACATGTGTCTTTAGGAAATTTAAATTTTTCAGCAAGTCTAGCCAAATTCTACATGGCTGGGCAGATTTTTTTTTCATTTTTTTTCTAAAGAAAGTTACATGTAGTATGGACCTTTTTCCAACTGAATCAGCAGATATGAAACAGACCTTGCCACAAAGGACATTCTTCTCCCAAAGGCAGTTGGTCGTGTTACTTGTGGTATTGCCTCTCTTATAGAACTACTTCAGAAAACAAGTTTGAAGGTATTTAAAAAAAAAACCCAGAAAACAACAAGGAATGATGGAACTGTGCCATAGGAGCATTGGGGATAATTCATCTGAGAAGTTCCAATGAAGTACTAAGTGAGTTTTAGATTCCTCTTCTTGGTACTTTAGCATCATTCAGCGACAGCGTTGCTTCACTGTGTAATACGGAGCAGAGATTTGTGTTCGTGCCTGGTCAGTCCCTCAAGGTGTGCCACATAGGGATTGAAAATCACTGTTACTGTACAGGTAGAAAGCTGGTTTCCATACACTGCTTGAGCCCTTCGCCATACAAGAGCTGTTTAGCAGTCCTGACCACAAGCCCAGGACAGGTGAGCGCTGGCTGTTGTGGTGTTGGAGCATCTCTCAGGTGCCTGCTGTGCCTCACAGACACCTCTTGGTCTGGTGCTCTGTGCCACACTCCAGGCCCAGCTCCCAGCCTGTGCCCTGTGGACCTTCAGGCCATGCGCTGGAAGGACACAGAGCTGACTGACCACAGCACAGCAAGTAAGGACAACTTCTGCCTATATTAGAAAAGGGATTGTTTTGATCTAACCTCTTCTTGCATTCACCTGGTCCTGCAACCCACATCCACCACCTCCTAGTTTAAAACGGGTAATTCAATTGTCTTTTAATTATTTAATTAAAAACAAACAAACAAATGTTATGGTCTGGGGCCTTTTCTGCTTGCATGAAGCAAGATTTGAACAAAGCAAAATTGCTAGCACGAAGTGGTGCCTGAGGGTGGAAGTCACAGGTTGCAAGCACTGTCCATACCCGTGTTTGTCTCCTTGGTTTTGCCTCCTGAAGGACACGTGCTGGCCTTGATCCTGGCGTCCAGCACAGCACAAGGCACCTGTGGCATCCTCTAGGCATCCCTCCTGAGCTTCCCACTGCTCACCAGCTCAGCTCTGCCCTGCCCTCAAGGAGCTCAGCAGTGGGGAAGTAAGGGGCTAGGAGTTGCAGGAGTAGCATATAAATCAGCTAAAAACTAATTAATGAATAGATTCACAGTCTTAGCTGCCTAAGGTGGGTAGCAATCCAATGTCCTGGTCACCACTGACAATAAATCTTGACACTATTTTATTATGGTGACAAATGCTGCTTCAGCTTGAGCACTCGATTAGTCAGAATAAGGTCAGTTCTTCTGAAGGGCATAGTGGGCACTGGCTGCTCTGGCTGAGAAGGAACAATGAGCAGCCTTCATTTCCATCACTAGCTGACCTCTGCTGTGACCTACACAGTGCTGAAAAGAGTTTCAATAGCACATTTGGTGGTGTTTTGGTTTCGGTTTGTTTTTTTTTTTTAAGTAGAAAGGAGATATTTTTCAGTGGCACATTTTGCTTTTTGTTTGCATGTGTAACCAAAAACCAACCAGCTTTTCTGCTTGTTGCTGGTATATTATCAGCTTGCTCTGCAACAAACGTAATCAACTAACTTGCAAGAATATCCATGTTCATCACATAGCACAGATAGAAGACAGGCTGGGAAGAAATATAAAGAGAAAAAAAGCCAAAACAGAATTTCTTTTCTCAGGGTTCTGTTTTTCTAGCAAGTGATAAGATGGTATATATTGCAGGTAATTTTTTTCTCTCCTGGATGAGGTTTTCAGGTGCAGGGTGCACTCACTGAATTTCAGCTGTTTAAAATTGTTCCTGAAGTTCACCTCAGCACTAGCTTTCAAAGGTATTTTTTTGG